GTCAACCACCGCTTGAGGTAGTGCCCGCATGAGGGTGCTTGGCTTACGGCTAGCAGGGTGTGGGAAAACTAACAGGTGCAGCGAGTTGCCTCCGGGTCCATAGAGCTACCTCGGGGTGGATGGGGCTCAATGTGGATGCACACGTCATCTCAGTACTTGTAGGGTCATCGGGATTCATGGGCTCATTCGAGATTTATGGGTTCACTCAGGATTCATGGGGTCACCTCGGGATTCATGGGGTCACCTTGGGATAAGCTGGATTTCTGTCTTGAGACCTGATTCTGGCAATGTTGTCGCGACCCTGCCCAGCTTGAGAGCAGCGGAGGTGAGGTCCAAGACAATGCAGGCGCCACGGTACAGCTGGTGGCAGGCGCACACACGCACGCACATGCAGGAGGAAAGACACACTGGAAACAGGAAAGCACACTTGCAATGATGGCATGGAAGGGAGCAGCACGGCGGAGCAGAGCAGCACGGCAGAGCAGAGCAACAGACGGTTCATAGCACCGACGCACTGGCAGCAGCAGCCAAGATCGTGAGACACATGGAGGGGCGGGAACAGCATGTTCACTCACAGTGGGCGGCATGGAGGAGGGCGGGGAGAGCAGGGCGAGGCGCGGCGCTCCAGCAGACGAGTTGACGGCGAAGAGAGGGCAGGGCAGCGCTGCCAGGGGCTGCTGGGGGTGGGGATGGATGGATGGATGGGCGCAGCACAAGGTGAGGGATGGGGGACCCATGGATGTGGGGGGACGTTTTTTGAGAATTCTAAAAAAACACCGGATGGCAGGGGAAAAGTTAGGCAAGTGAGAGGGATGAGGGAGGAAGACGTGCACATGGAAAAAGAGTGGGAAGAAAGTGAGCGAGCGACTGCTGAAGGGAGAAGGGAACGGATAGAGTGGGTGAGAGGGGAGTGGCGGGGGTAAGCAAGCAAGTGAGGAAACGATTGGGATGGAGATAGAGAAATAAGGGAATGCGTGCAGGGAGGGAGGGGGGCGGACGAAGCGTGGCAACGCAGCTTATGCGCGCGGCACTGCAGCCTCACTGTGGCACCAATAACCGGCGCCCCGCGGCCCACGGCAGCACTGCAGGGGGCGGAGAGCGGGGAGAGGGGGGACAGGGGAGGAGAGCAGAGGAGAGTGAGGACAGAGGAGTGGTGTTAGGGGAATGGGTGGGGGTACGGGTTTGGGGGTAGGGAAATAGGTGGGGGTAGGAATGGGGGGTAGAAGAATGGGTAGGGGTAGGGGTTTGGGGATACGGGAACGGGTGGGTTTAGGGCTTCGAGGGTCGGGGGATGGGTGGAAAACACAGGTGGCAGCAAGGCATCGAGGGAGCAGCAGAAGGCAGGGAATCAAAATGACACCTGGCAGCAATGACACCTGGCAGCAATGACACCTGGCAGCAATGACACCTGGCAACAATGACACCTGGCAACAATGACACCTGGCAACAATGACACTTGGCAACAATGACACCTGTCAGCAATGACACCTGGCAGCAATGACACCTGGCAGCATTGACATCTGGCAGCAATGACTCCTGGCAGCAATGACACCTATCAGCAATGACACCTGGCAGCAATGACACCTGGCAGCAATGACACCTGGTAGCAATGACACCTGGCAGCAATGACACCTAGCAGCAATGACACCTGTCTGCAATGACACCTGGCAGCAATGACACCTGGCAGCAATGACACCTGGCAGCAATGACACCTGGCAGCAATAACACCTGGCAGCAATGACACCTGGCAACAATGACACTTGGCAACAATGACACCTGTCAGCAATGACACCTGGCAGCAATGACACCTGGCAGCAATGACACCTAGAAGCAATGACACCTGGCAGCAATGACACCTGTCTGCAATGACACCTGGCAGCAATGACACCTGGCAGCAATGACACCTGGCAGCAATGACACCTGGCAGCAATGACACCTGTCTGCAATGACACCTGGCATCAATGACACCTGGTAGCAATGACACCTGGCAGCGATGACACCTGTCTGCAATGACACCTGGTAGCAATGACACCTGGCAGCAATGACACCTGGCAGCAATGACACCTGTCTGCAATGACACCTGGCAGCAATGACACCTGGCAGCAGTGACACCTGGCTGCAATGACGCAACAGCGCATGGCAATCGCAGCTGGAGTGCATCCTCGCCCCACCTCTAGTACATGATGACGTCACCTACAGTACACGATGTCGCTACCAGTAGTAATGGTGACCTCACCTGTAGTACATGATGATGTCAGAGAAGGGCAGTCCCAAGTGCACAGCAGCGAGTGGCAGCGACGGCACAGCGCCCAGCGACCCGTTGAACGCAAACTCGCACGGCGCACCCACTGCTGCCTGCTGGAGGCACTCATGGGGGGATGGCAGAGGGGGATGGCAGGGGGGGGGGATGGGGGATGGAAGGGGTGCGGACGAAGGATGCGGCTATCGTGGTGGGGACATGCGGATACGGTCACGGGGTGAGGCAGCTGGGAGGTGTGGACATGGTGCGACAGCGTATCCTCGTTTCCTGCTCTGCCCGCCGTGCAGCCTGCTGCCGCCACCCTCTCCGCTTGCCCCACTCTCTCCACCACCACGCCCTATTGCCCCGCCCCTATCCCACGCCCCTATCGCCCCGCCCCTATCCCACGCCCCTATCCCATGCACCTATCGGCCCACCCCTATCCCACACCCCTATCCCACGCCCCTATCGGCCCGCCCCTATCCCACACCCCTATCAGCCCACCCCTATCCCATGCCCCTATCCCACGCCCCTATTCCACGCCCCTATCGGCCCGCCCCTATCCCACGCCCCTATCGGCCCGCCCCTATCCCACGCCCCTATCCGCCCGCCCCTATCCCACGCCCCTATCCCACGCCCCCATCCCACGCCCCTATCCCACGCCCCTATCCCAATTGGTCCGCAGTATTAGGTAAGGTAGGGTACAGGCATGGCAACGAATAGTGCACAACAGGTGAGTCCCAACAACCCAGGCCAGGGGACCTTAAGGGTCCCCCAGCACTGGCTCTAACACATGCAGCAAGTCCCCCACAGGGAGCGGAGCCGCCGGCTCACCCCAGGGCTGCTCGTCGGTAGTGAGAGCTTCGTTGATCTTCGTGTTGAGGGCCACGGCTTGGCTCCGCTGCAGAGTAACCGACCATCGCTGGCGGTACTCATGGAAAAGCTTTGCGGCCTCCCGGGAGGTGGGAGCCGCCAGGTGGAGCTTGTGTGCCGCCAACTCAGCGCACTGCTTGAGAAAGCCAAACACGCCGGGCGAAGAGCAGCCATACGTCTCTGCTGCCATCGCAAAAAAGCCAACCCACTCCGCGTGGGCCGGGGGGCGGTTTTGTTTTCCTTGCCCCGGGCTGCCACACGTGCCGCCCAGCCAGTCCCTTTACGGGCCACTGGGTCGTCTTGGGAGATGAGATCAGTTAGAGTGACGTCACACAGCCACACCGCCCCTGAATCCAGATGGTGGATGGCGACGTCCGCCCAAAGATTGGAGACCCGCGTGAAGAGATTGGTCTCCTTCTGCATAATGAACCCCGCCTCGATGGCTATCCGGGCACACTCGTCCCGCAGGGCGTGGTGCGCGCCCGTCCGACCCGCCCCCTTAGCACACCTCAGGAGGTGGTTGGGAAGGCGGGGATCGACGATGTCGGTACGGTCGGCGCAGTTGCAGACGTCCGGGGTGGAGTGAGGGAGCCCCAGGCGGAATGCCATGGCGGTAGAGAAGTGTCCAAGGCCAAGGTGGAGGGAGGATGAGAAGGGGATGGCGTGCAGCCAGTCGCCTTCCCCCGGGCCCATGAGCGAGAGCAGGCGCTGCGTGTGCCCCTGGAGAGGATTGAGCGGCATGCGGCAAGCCTGCTCTAGCTAGAGCATGAAATGCTCCGCCTGCACCTGCAGTGCTAGCGCGCGCTTAAGCTTGGGCAGGTCTGGCGAGGTGTGCTCTTGGCGCAGAAGCGCCGCCGCAGCGGGCGGAAGGGAGTTCTCGAGGATGGCAAGGCGGCAGGGAAATGGTGTGGGGCCAGTGGTATCAGGGTGGAGCTGCCCCAGCCGGTCAGAGACGGCACAGGGCAGTGACGGGATGCTACCCAGGAGATGGGCGGAAGCGGCGACGGAGGTCAGATAGCTCGGCGCTGCCTCCGCAGCAGGGTTGGTGATGCCGAGCCCGCTGAGAGTGGTTGGAAGGGACGCCTGGTCCCACACGCGCTTGCGCTCGTGGCGACCTCTCGGCAGGGGTAGACGACTTGCCGACAGCGCTGTATGAAAGAGGCTCTCTCCCCAGGCACCCCAGTTGTTCAGGGGAAGCAGCTCGAGCGGCGTGGAGCTTAGCAGGAAGGCCACACGGCGGGAGACGCAGTGGGTGAGAAGCTGCAGGGACAGCTGGGGGTCCAATCGCGAGAAGCGGCAGCGGAGCGGCGGCAGACGAGAGGCGGGCACGGAGGGTGGCGGAGCAGGCGGCAGGCGGGCCCACGGGGCTCCCCAGAATCTTGAGCCCCCCGGCGCTCAGGGTGATCCCGGCGGGAAGCTCCATGGCGGAGGTAATCAATGAACCCCACATGGCGCACATCGTGGGGTTTTGACGGAGCCCGCACCCAGCGATGGCGGCGGTGAGGTGGTCGAAGGCGGCAGTGCAGGTGGCCGACGGACCCAGTAACATAACGTTGTCGGCGTAAGCAAGAACAACAGCGTCGGGGAAGGCGGCTGCTGTGGTGGCGAGGCTGGGGTGGAGGCCAGCGGCGAAGAGGAGGGGGCCCTGTTATAATCACAATAGGCTTAGATGTGCCTATAATGAGAGATAGAGAGCACAGTCGGATTTCCGTCAGACGGCTTCAAATACTGATAACGATCTGGTCACTGAATCAAACGGTGATCTGTAAATTTGATCTGGAGTGCGTTGCGGTCCTCTATCAGCAGCAAGTTGAATCATAAGATTCCATGAAGATTTGACGACGCTATGGCGGTTTGACTGGTAGGAGGTACAGCAGCCACTATAGTCTTAGGAGTACAAACTTAGCAAGAAGAGTTCGAGAGGGAGATGGTTCCCAGCCTCTACATACCCCAAGAGCCGAGGTCCAGGTTGGTGGTACACCACTAGAGAGTCCCCAACCATGAAGAGTCTCGAAACCAACCCTCCAAGGGGCTACACCAAGTGAAATGTAACACTACACGAAGTAACGTTACTATTTTCACTATTTAATATTTATCCGCGTCCATTGGGCTTGTAATCTTGAGCTCTTGTTCTTGGATCTGCAAGATAAATTCTTCTTGAGTTGATGGGGGCTTCCTGCACACACCTGCGACACGATGGACACTTCACACTCGACAAAATAGAAAAAACACATGCGACACACAAACGACGACTTGACATGCAAGTTGTAAAAACTCGCTAATGTCTTGACGGACACAAGCCACACTGTGATACACCATTGAAACATTCACACAAGCACTAGATAGCACTGACATAGACTCACAATTCATTCCATGCCATGCATGCACACACACAAACAAGGACGACAAGCCGAGTGCAAGCCATAGGATTGCACCAACAAACTCCCCCTCGGATTGTTGGCCTTAGAATCTGCTCCCCTTAGTTCAGAGCCATCCCAGCAAGCTTGCAACACTTCCAATGCTGCTGCTCAACCAGCCTCTTGGTCATCATATCAGCTGGCTGTGCCGTCGTCTTCACGTAGTGCAACTCCACTTCACCCGCGGTTACCATGCTCCTCACCCAATGCCACTTCACCTTCATGTGCTTCGTAAGGCCATGAAGAACGGGGTTCTTAGCCAATGCAATAGCACCCTGGCTATCACAGTAGAGTGGGGTAGGTCCTTGCTGCTCCTCCCCCAATTCAGCTAGCAAACGCCGCTGCCACACAACCTCTCTTATGGCACGGAAGAGTGCCATGTACTCGGACTCCACCGAGCTCAATGCTTGGTCCACTTGTTTCTTGCTCTCCCAAGCTGTTGGCCCTCCACCAACACAGCAGATGAAGCCTTCCACACTTGTCATGTCCTCTGGTTCTGATGCCCAAGATGCATCAGAGAAGGCGGTGAGAAAGAGCCTCCCGGGTTCGACTCCATCCGCACCCTTTTGACGCCTTTGTGCCGCCGCGGAGTATTGCAGTCCAACAGTTGCTGTTTGGCCAAGGTACTTGGCCACCCTCTCTCCAGCAGCTGCCTGCTCCTCATTGGGGCATTGGACAACCCTAGCCAGCTGCCCGGTAGCAAAGGCTGCATCCGGCCTTGTGTGAACGGCCGCATACATGAGGCTGCCCACCAAGGAGTGAAAACGGCGCCTCTCCTCTTCACCAACACTTTCCTCCGCTGGTCCTTTCACACACTTGAACCCTGAGGGAAGAGGAGTAGCCACATGACCTTCACTGTTCCCAAAGTTTGCAGCCAAGGCCTCCAAGTACTTCTTTTGATGCACTCGCATCCACCGCATCTCCACATCTCGCTCAATGTGAAGGCCAAGGTAGTAGTTGACGTCACCAAGGGTCTTGCACTTGAACTTGTCTTGAAGCTTCAGCATCACCTCCTTCACAAGGTCAGAGGAGGGTGAGAATATGAGGATGTCATCCACATAAACCACCATGAAGCTCCTCTGCTCCCCCTCGCCAAGCATGAACAACGATTGATCGGCCGTTGAGGGAGTGAAGCCGATCGCCTCCAAGACTTCCCGCAGCTTGATGTACCATTGCCTAGGGGCTTGCTTGAGGCCATGGAGTGCATTCTTCAGCTTCCACACTCTGCCACTCCCATCATTGTACCCCTCTGGCTGCTCCATGAAGGTCTCTTCCTCCAAAACGCCGTTGAGGAAGGCCGTTACTATATCCATTTGCTTCACCACCCATCCTTTGATGGCCGCCGCGGCGAAGAGGGTTCGAAGGGTTGTACCCTTTACCACAGGGGCATACACTTCATTGTAGTCCTTCTTCTCTTGCTGCTGATACCCCTTGGCTACAAGTCTGCTCTTGTAGCGCTCAATGTTGCCGTCGGCGTCGGTCTTGCGCTTGAAGAGCCACTTGGAAGAAATCGCCTTCCGCCCCGGAGGTAGGTTCACCAAGTCAAACGTGTCGTTCTCGATGATGCTCCCCATTTCTTCATCTGAGGCCTTCTTCCACTCCTTCCCATTGGAGCCCTCCCAAGCCTCCTTGGGATTTGTAGGCTCCCCCGGTATCTCCACCGGAGAGAAGAAGGCAAAAGCGCACTCCTCGCTTTCATCTTCCGCATCATCGCCTAGCATGAGAGCCGAACCGGTCAAGGTTGAGTTGGCTGGTCCTCCAAGCCGTTCATAGCTCAACCTATTGGGGGGCTGAGTCCTCCTTCTCCCCCTTCCTTCCTCCTCTGCTGCAGGGACTTGAATGCTCTCATGGCTTTGCGGTAAGTCCGGTCGGTTCCCGCGAGCACTTGTAGCACGAGGCAGAAGTGGCGGTGCACGCTCATTACCTTGCTGCACCTCCTCCTCCTCCTCATCCCCATTCATTTGGGGAGATTGCCTCGTGATTGTGCTGCTGCTACTCAGCTCCAAGGGCAGCTCCACATGCTCCAAGCCGGTCCTCTTCACCTCTCCAAGCCGCACACCAATCTTCGCTTGGTTCTCCGCCTTCCACTCCTTGTACGGTAAGTTCTCCATGAACTTGCAATCTCTGCTCACCAGGAACTTCTTGGTAAATGGGTCCCATAGAAGCCATCCCTTGCTGTTTTGGGCCATGCCCAGGTGCACGGCCCATGTTGCCTTGGCATCAAGCTTGTTGTGCCGAAATTTCTTAGGCACAAGTGCCATGCACATGCACCCGAACACCCGAAGCATATCCACCTTCGGCTTCCTTCCAATCCACTCCACATAGGGCACCCATTTGTCTTCTCCCACATGAGTCAAGGCTCTGTTCTTGGCCACACAAGCATGCCGCACCGCATCCGGCCAAAAGTAATTGGGTAGACCGGCTTCAATGAGAAGTCCCCGAGCCGTCTCCGTGAGTGTCCGATTCGCACGCTCGGCGATGCCGTTCATTGCAGGAGAGTAGGGCATGGTAAGAGAGTGCCTTATGCCCTGCTTCTTCAGCCAAGTTGAGAAATCCTTGCTCAGGAACTCTCCCCCACGGTCAGTGCGAATCGCCTTCACAAGTCGGTCTTGTTGCCGCTCCACCATCGGCAACCAATCGGTCTTCACCGTTTCAGCTACGTCACTCTTCTTGGGCAGCACATACACCCAAGTCATGCGAGTGTAGACGTCCACAATGGTGAGGAAGTACTCAGCTCCAGCAGCTCCAAGCTTCAAGGGGCCCACCACATCCATCACCACCTCATCAAGTGGTGCCTTTGCCGTTGTCTCCGAGCTATGGAACGGGTAGCGGGTGAACTTGGCTTGCATGCATGTTGGACAGCCAAGCACCTCATTGGGCTCCCCCTTGACACGTATCCCACTGACCATCTCTTGCTTAACAATCTGCTGCAAAATGGGCAATGCCACATGCCCCATTCGCCGATGCAAGGTCAGCCAATCACACTGTCCCGTAGCGGAAGTCGGGTTGGAGAAAGCGGCACTCGCAATCGTGCCCCACAAGCTCTCTCGTTTCTCCTTTGCCGCTGCTGCTTTGCTGATCTTAGGCTTCTCCTCCTCATTTCTAGCACCTTTGGCTGCTGCACCACTCTCCTTGGGTTCACACGCCTTGCTGGTCTCCCCAAGGTTGCACTCCTTCGAGTCACTCTTGGTGTCACTTTTTTTTCCGTGATCACCGCCACCAACCGCTTCACTCTTGGTGCTGACGCTTGCTGCCACTTGCCTCCCCTTAGGCATGGGGACCACTGGGATTTGCCACATTTCATTGTAGATGTCCTTGTCCTCATGATGGTCCCAAAGCTTCCGCTCACCAAGCCTCGCGGTATATGTTTCGGAGCCCTTGGAAGATGTGTCCATGCCGGCCTTTTGCAAACGCCGAACAGAGATCAGGTTGGCTGCAAGGTTGGGCACCCAAAGCACGTTCTTGAGGCCCACCATCTTCCCATCAGCACCCTTGAACATGGCCTTGCCCATGCCTTTCACCTCTGCTCGCTGCCCCAAAGCCGATGTAACATGCTTGACCGGCGACGGTTCGAGTTCGGTGAGCAAGTCCGCACGAGGTGTCATGCTGTAGGTGGCGCCGCTATCGATCACCCAAAAGTCCAGAGAGTGAAGGGTGACCTTTCCCACAGTTGCTGGCTCCTCAAAGCCTTCCACACCTCCTGCTGCAGCTGCCGCTTGTGTGGAGACAAAGAAGAATTGGCCCGGGTATCGATCTTCACTCGAGTCCTTGTCGTAGTCTCCACCTTTCATGCTTGCCGCTTCGCCTCCACGGCCACCACGGCCTCCACGACCTCTGCCTCTTCCTCCCCTTGCTCCTTTTCCCTCTTGGCCTTGAGAAGGGGTCCATCCATCAGGCAATCTGAAGCAATCTCTCCACATGTGGCCGGTCTTGTGACAAAAGTGGCATTCGCCATCAAATGGACCGCGCCCAGGCCCGTAGCCATTGTTGTTGTTGCTGCCATATCCTCCATTACCACGGCCTCCACTGAAGTTACTGCTGCCAAATCTTCCTCCTCGCCCTCTGCCCCTTCCACGGCCGTGCCCACGGCCCATGCTTGCAACTCCGGCACCATCGGGACCCGCCAATTCGCGACGGCGGAAATCTTCTTGTAAGATTTCCCGCTTCACATCTTCGAGTGAGAGACGGGGCAGATCTCGATTTAGGTTGATGATGAGCGAGGACCATGAGTCCGGAAGTAAGGCTAGCAGCTTGGTCTTCTTTTGAAGGTCACTGTAGTTCAGGTCAGCTCCTTTGAGCCGTGTCAATAAGTCGAAGAATTTCTGCACTCCTTCCTCCACCGGTTCGCCTTCGTCAATTCGAAGTGCCGCCATTTGCCGCTCCAAAACCACAGCCACCGCCGCTGTTGCAGGAGCGTGTACACCCTTGAGAGCAGCCCATGCCTTTGGTCCCTTTGCTGGTTCACGCTGAAAAGGCTTGATGTGACGGATTTGGCTGCTCCCCAACGCTTGCCCAAGTAGAAGGTAGCCTTGTGCGCTCTTCCGCACCCACGGGCTCTTCTCCGAGTCGTTCTCGGGGCGCTTCTCCGTTCCTTCCATCATCTCCAGCAGATCATAATGGTCAAAGATGTTCTCCATCTTGAAGGACCACTCAGCAAAGTTGTCACCGTTGAACTTGTCAAGGCCAAACACTCTAGGCTCATCCCTAGAGGGTCCAAGGCTAGGTTGCACCGGAGCAACGGGTGGATCTTGGTGTTGACCTTGTGCTTGGGCGTCTTCTCTGCCTCCAACACCTCTGCCACCCCCTTCCTCAGGCCTAGGCATGGTCTAGACGGCTCCAAGGGGCTCTGATACCACTTGTTATAATCACAATAGGCTTAGATGTGCCTATAATGAGAGATAGAGAGCACAGTCGGATTTCTGTCAGACGGCTTCAAATATTGATAACGATCTGGTCACTGAATCAAACGGTGATCTGTAAATTGGATCTGAAGCGCGTTGTGGTCTTCTATCAGCAGCAAGTTGAATCATAAGATTCCATGAAGATATGACGACGCTATGGCGGTTTGACTGGTAGGAGGTACAGCATCCACTATAGTCTTAGGAGTACAAACTTAGCAAGAAGAGTTCGAGAGGGAGATGGTTCCCAGCCTCTACATACCCCAAGAGCCGAGGTCCAGGTTGGTGGTACACCACTAGAGAGTCCCCAACCATGAAGAGTCTCGAAACCAACCCTCCAAGGGGCTACACCAAGTGAAATGTAACACTACACGAAGTAACGTTACTATTTTCACTATTTAATATTTATCCGCGTCCCTTGGGCTTGAAATCTTGAGCTCTTGTTCTTGGATCTGCAAGATAAATTCTTCTTGAGTTGATGGGGGCTTGCTGCACACACCTGCGACACGATGGACACTTCACACTCGACAAAATAGAAAAAACACATGCGACACACAAACGACGACTTGACATGCGAGTTGTAAAAACTCGCTAATGTCTTGACGGACACAAGCCACACTGTGATACACCATTGAAACATTCACACAAGCACTAGATAGCACTGACATAGACTCACAATTCATTCCATGCCATGCATGCACACACACAAACAAGGACGACAAGCCGAGTGCAAGCCATAGGATTGCACCAACAGGCCCATGGGGTCGCCCTGCTGCATGCCGCGCGTGCTGGTCAGAGGCTCCGCCTGGAAGCCATGGTCGATGAAGTGGGTGGAGGCGGACGAAGGGGATTAAGAACTCGAGTTCCGTCCCCTGAAGGCCCTCAAAGACCGCCGCGCATTCAATGGCATTGAACGTGTTGGCGACGTCAATTTGCAGCGCGATGTGACCGGTGTGCTTATCGACGTAGACGCGGGTGACGTGGATGATAACCTCCGCGCCCCCGGGGATGGCGACGCCAAA